GGGGCGGGTCCAACTGAGCGGGGCGGGTCCAACTAAAGAGTAGTGGATCCAAGTCAATGCAAAATGGGGGTTCCAGATTTTGGATCCCCCGGGGGTCTGGGTCTGTGATCCTGCTGTAGTCGGGGCAGGGCGCCCCGGCTGCTATCATGATCCGAAGCTTGCCTTTGGGGTCGATGCGGCGGATCTCTGCGGCGAGGGAGGCCCAGTCTCCGCGGTGATGTGCCCGCGGTTGCCCGCGGTTCGTGATGATGCCGTGGATCTGCTCCATGGCCACTGCGGCTGCTTTCTCGTCGACTTCCCACACCAGCACCTGAGCAAGCTTGACGTGGTCTTGCAAAGCCAGGATCGGCACGCCTATGCCATCGAAGAATGATGACGGCGTCGCCTGCTGCTCCAGCGGCTCTCGGTTTGGCTGCCGCAGCTGGCGCTGGCTGCTGCTGCTTTTGCGGTGGCAGGCTTCAGCCCTGGATTCTTCTGGGCGGGTCCCCCCTCCTTCCAGGGTTGGAGGAGTCCCCTCAGAACTTCATTCCCAAGACGGCCCACGTCTGCCACTGTCCACGCTGCTGCCACTGCTTCCCCCAATCATCTTGGCTCCATGGAGCCGCTGAGTCCTGCTGCCGGCCCTTTCCGCCGCCTTTGCCGCCCTTGCCGCCTTTGTGCGGCTTCTCCGGCTCCCACGGCCGCTTCTTCCCCGGCTTGTCGGGATTCTCATTGACAACCTTGGCCATGGTCTCCTGCCAGAGGATGTGGTCGCCAATGATCTCGTCCGCTGCTGCCTTAAAAGCCACGCCACGCCTCATGGTCTGGGCCAGTCTCCATGAGGTTGTCTCATAGTACAGCTTGTACTGTGTGAGCTTCTGCGGCATGCTTCGAGCCTTACGTTCCAGGGTGTCAAAGAAAGCGTGCACGTCCTGCTCGTCGCCGATCTGCAAGAGGATGAAGAGGTACCTGATGCTCTGCAGCCCATCGAGGATCGAAAGCATAGACCTCGGGTCCCATGGCCTTCGCCACTATGGCCTCTGCTCCCAGAAGGAGGGCTTCCGGGCCCAATCTGCTGCTGGTTGTACCGCGCCACCAGCTTTTTCCACTCGCCCGGCGCCAAGTCTGTAGGCGCTTTGCGGCGGCTGCAGCGGATTCGTGCTGCCTCTGTTCTATACACAGTTCCCGAAGGTACAGGAGAGTGGCTTTCCCAGTCGGATATTCCTCTGCGGTGAGGCGAAAGTCTTCGGCTGGTCCTTGCCAGCCGCCGGCTAGTGGCTCGATGATCGCCTGCACAAAGCTGGCCTGGTCCGCCGAGATCAGCGCGAGTGCGCCGATGCTGCGCAGGCCTCTCTCGGTCAGGTAGCGGGCACACAGGTCAGAGACGCCCGCTTTCGCCACCAGAGCTGGAAGGTCATGTATCCTGGCTGTGACGGTCATGTCGAGACTAGCAGGCAGGCCAACTCAAACCCGACTGGAGCCATGCAAGACAAGCGCCCAAAGCTTCTGGGTGCATCATGTTCTAGTGTCACAACTTGGCTCTGAGCATGCCGGCTGCATAGCTAACCAGGAGGCTGACTTTGCTGGACCCGAGCGTCTCTCCGTGTCCTCTGTGTCTCGGCTGACCTGTGGCCCGAGTCTATCTAAAGCTGTGCTCTCGCTCAAACACAAGCCTGAGTATGCGACCTCCTGCGCAACCCGTGTCATATCCCGCCTGCTCACGCGCAGGCGGGTGAGCAAAAGGTGATGGCCAACCCTTGGGCCCCAGTATCCTAAGCCCCGCGCTCAGATTCTGGTCAGTCCATGGTAGTCAATTCTTCCTGAAAGGGGGGTTCTAGCGTTACGGGCGGTGAGGCCCACTAAAGTGCAAACGGCCCAGCCTCCATAAGTCGCGGTGATGCCGAAGAAGATGAAGACAAAGATGCATCCTGGCGGGCAAGGCATGGGCACATAACAAGTTAAGGGGAAAAAGATTGGCAGGATGCATGCTCGGCACTCCACGTGCCAACTTTTCACACGGCCTCGCCCGTGCTTGGCCCTCTCTCGGGCTCTGTGTCAGAAAATGACTCGGCCCTCACACGGACCCGGACAGCCCGCCCCGAATACACAAAACTTTCGGGCGCTGGCACCAAAAAGGAGAAGCAGCTGCTCAAAACCCTCAGGAGCTAGAAGACCCCGAGGAACTGCTGCTCGAGGAAGAGCTGGATGAAGGGCAGCCCGCCTCCGGAAAGCAGCGCCTACATCGGCGCAACTCCGGGCCCAAACTGTCTGCCTGGACGCGATAGAAGCTGCTCCAGCCGTATCCCCAACCACATGTGGTGCGCCAGCGGTGCACTTCATTCTGCGCCTCGGGCACGCCGATGGCATGAGCTACGCGGCGGCGAGGCTGCACGATAAGGTTCTCCCGCACTGGCGGTATGGCCTTGGCGATCTCTGCCCGAACCTGGTCCATGGTGATCCCTGTGTGTGGCGCTGCGAGCGCAAATTCATCCAGAATCAGAAGAGGCAATGGTTCATCCGGAGCCGGGTCAGCGCGGCCGCGCCTTCTGCGCCGAGCTGGCGGCGTCGCCGGTTCCTCGTCGGTGGCGAAGTATGACGGTGCAGGCAACGACCCCAATGCCGCGGCAGCTCGGATGTTCTGAGGCAGCCGAAGAAGTGGAGCGAGCTGCACATATCGGTCTATCGGCCTAGAACACCACCTGCCTTGAAGCTGGATCTGTGCCAGCGGCACATTCAAGGCCGCCAGGTATTGGGTCCCGCTGACCCTGAGCGTATGGCCGCCATCCTGGCCAGGGAAGAGGTAATTCTCCGCTGAGGTCTCGACGCCAGCCAAACGCAACCTTTCCAAATGCCTTTTTGCGCAGTGATAGGGACACAAAGGTTCCTGCCTGGCGCGACACACGCAGACATATGACCTCACAGTTAAGCTCCCCTGAGACTCCGTCTTGGATACAGGCAGTAGGAGATGAACTGAATCTGGATCCGACAAGTACAAATGATGGGCCCGTGCATTCGATATCTCGATCTCCCTCAACATGTACCAAGTACAGATGATGCACAGGTCAACTGCTGCTGCCATGTCCCGCTTGTCAAAGGCACGAAGCGCCTCTTCCAGCCGCACCAAAGCTCGGAGAACTTCGAAGTCAAAGGAGTCCTTCAGCTTGGCCGGGCCTAGGCCGCGCTTGATGGCACGAACGGTGTCCCGTATGATAAACCTGGTCTCCTCTCCGATGGGCAATGCCAAGGTCCGGAGCTGGTGCGACGTCGCTGCAGAAAAGTAGAGGGAGCAAGAGTGGTAGCCACCAGCCCGCAGGGAAGCTCCAATACAACGCACCAGCTCTGCGTTAACCGGAAAGGCCCAGGCTGCACTTAGCTCTCGCCATGACTTAAGCCGGCTGTCCACCGAAGGCCTAGTCGTGGCAGCTAGCCCCGCTGCTTGCAACGCCTCAAGCGATGCCTGGCGGTTCTGAGGCAGGGCCGCCTCCAACGCCGCGGCCCACGATGCTTTCTGTCGCACCTCGCCGACCGGATGGTCCGGGCGCCCCGGCGCCAGAGCCAGAGTGGTCTCGAGCCGTCCCCTGACGATCGCCTCCAATTTCCAAGACTCCACCCCACTGACCAGCAAGGCTGCTGCGTGGGCCATTATGTCCTGCACTTCCCGGACGCCATGCTCGAAGAGTACGGGAGCTAACTCCTGGAGGCCAGTGGCCCGAAGTCTTTCCCACAGCTCTTGAGCCATGGTGCTATGCTAGCTTAACAACCTGGATAAGCAATGCAAGCGGAATGAAGACACTAAAGTGCTGAACACATGTCGGTGAGACCTGGCAGTCCACGGTGAGCTCAATCAAGCGCACCACAGCCAAATCGACCGGTCCTAAGGGCCTAGCAAGTGCCTGGAGGCGTGGCAGGGCTGTATTTATGATCTCCAATTCAGTGGGGTTCGCCTGACCCCACTCTCTGGCAGAGAACACACCATGCATGCCGGGCACTAGCACTGCTGTGGCTACAGGCTTGCTCTCGTTCAACTTCAGCCCTGTCAGAAGGTCAAGAAGCGGTCGCAGCAGCCCCCTATCACGAGGAGACAAGGCCGCCTCCAAGTCGATGACTGCGTGGCGAGCACCCTCGAAGACGCGATCGTAGACCTCCTCCGGCGCTGTCATAGACGTGTCTGCCCAAGCGCTGAGGGCTCCAGAGGCAAAAGCCATGTCCAGCTCAGCAGCCCCCACCATGGCGTAGCCTCAAGAAGAAAATTCTTTGAAAGCTCGGGCCCGCGGCTACAGCGGTGACCTCGTGCCCCGCGCTTTCACATGTCACTCAGTACATTCTGTACTCCACAACAAAAACCGTACGGAGCCCTTGCCTTCCACGAACATTCAAAATAAACCATTGGGTGTGGTTGTTGTAATTCGCCCAGGATCTTTCCATGAGGGTCCCAATAACTAAATCGGATGTGAGCTGGGCCCACACAACCCATATTCAATTTGGGTCCGAATTAATTACTACAAGTTCTTAGGTACTTGAACCCTTTGGGGCCTTAGGGTCTGAAGTATTTTGTTAAACCACGAAAACCATGGAATACGTACTAGAGGGTCCGAGAGAAACAATGAAATAAGGACAGGATTAGAAAGGAAGAATGTTGCCTCGACAGTACGTGGGGTTCCTTACGCAACGAGTAGAAACAACCTCCCAACTGCCTAAAAAAATTGAGAAGTGCCAGAAAACATGGGCCTTAAAGTTTCAACCCTCAACTCTAAGCCTTCAGCTTCTCTGGAAACAAGAGCTTCTGACAAAACCGTCGGTCTCTCTAGCGTTTACGAAGCGCTCCTGTAGATAGAACCAGAAGTTCGTGGAAACGCTCGAAGATCCGCGAAGCCGTACACTGAAACCCTCACCTTCGGAAAACCAGGAACCCTAAACATCCTAAACAACAAAACCTTGAACCCTCAACCCTAAGCCCCAAAACCCTAAACCTAAACCTTCAACCTTGAACTTTAACTCGGAAAAGATGGCATGCTATTCAATGTTCTCTGTCTTTGGATGCCTTTGGCATGAGATGCCGCGGCTGAGGAAACGCAAGAAACCCTGGAGTCGCATGTTGCATCATGTCGCTGCTCTTTGCCTCCGCTGCTTCGCTGAGTCCCTGCCGCGTCCGGAGCTCTCGTGACAAGGCACGGGCCGCACCTGCCAACAGGTCTGAAAATTCCGAAGCCGGGTGCCGCAGCATGTTTTGGATGACCTCCCCCAAGGATTCTTGGCGGTTGCCCAAGGTTTGACTTTTATCGAATGCACTGGAACGCCATACGTGCGATTTCAACCATATTGGATTAAGTAGGGTTGCGTGGACGGAGCAAAAATATTCTGTGTGTTGCCTTCAAGAAGCTCAGCAAATCCAGCCCGAACATCTTTAGCTAAATCCTGGAACTACTTCGCTCCAGACATCGAAATGCACAGTGAGGCGAGCGCAGCTCTTCTGTGGTGACAGCTATGCAGAAAAGCGGGCCTAGGCGGACTGCCTGTGAGGGATCTGTGACGAGCGTGTTGCCTGAGCAACTCTGGAAGTTTTTGGGAGTATTGGGGCTCTAAAATGTCTGAAATCGCTTACCTCCATCTTACGGAGAGAGACCTCTTGCAGTCTAAGGCACGTAGCATTGTCAGCGCCCAGGTTCGGCGGGGCTCCTGCGAGATCCGCTGAGGCCAAATCCAAGTTCGAGAGACTTAAGACTGGAGTATGCTGGATGCTAGAGCTAAAGGCCGGAGAGCGCAGAAGTGAGCGCTTTGCCAGGGAGATCTGGCAAAGGCAATTTTCTGCTGCGGTGAGACGCTGAAAGCTTAAAGCGATCATAGAAACTATGAAGCTGCTCGCTTCAACAAGAGCACTTCTGGCGCAAGCCCAAGCTACAGACGTCCAAAATGAGGCTCACTTTAGTGAACTAGTCTGACAGGCTCACCCGCTGCCACCGGGCTATGGAGCCTCGATCTTTCTCTGAGGGTCACAGAAGGGCTTGCTTTCTCTGCAATTCTGGTTTTGACATGCGCGCGCACACACACTACAGAAGCCAAGATCTTGCCGGACCAAAAACACATCTCATCTCAACATGGATGCGTTCCTGCAGCTGGGAAGCCCGAAGCTCTTCTTCCTCAAATCGCGCACATCCCTTAACTCCTCTTCAGAGTCCTCAGTGGAGCTGTGAAATACTGTGTGGAGAGACATCTGCGTAGCAACTGCTGCGAGACCTCTTGACATCTCTTGACCATTCTTGACCCTATTGTGGCCTTTCAGCGGATGATTTGGGGCCTCTTGTCTCCATAAGGCGTTGTTTGGAATTGCAGCCGAACGGCGGTGTCGTCGCAAATCCCTTCATGCCTGCCTCAGGACATCGGAGCTCGAATTCAGCTGTCAGCTGTCTGGCAGTGTCTCAATTGACAGCATTATCTTTGCATTTTGGACACCAAGCTGCAAGTCACCCAAGAGAGGCACCAGCGCCAGAAATCTTCGATTGCAGGGCACGAGCTGCAGCCACCTTTGCAGGAGTCCCTGCAGCTCTGTAAGTGATGAACAAGGCGAAGATGCGAGCACGAGAGCGACTTCGACGTCACATGGAAATGCCGAGTAGCAATCTTCAAGATCAACTGGACCGCACAATCGCCTGCACAAGAGACACGAAACGTAGAATCTCGATGAATCTACGCAGACCAGGAGCCTAGAGGCTACCAGGCTGAATGCATAACTGCCTGCCTGAAGGTTCTCTGGTCACAGCACATGCACAGCAAGAAAGTCAAAAGACCCAGCACCACCTCAGCTGCACAATTCCGGAACAATGCTCCATTCATCCTGGACTGCGGAAGAGCGGCTACAGTCAGAGCAATGTAGAAGGAGGGCCTGCAAGGAGCCATGTTCACAACCGCAGCTGGTAGAGGCTGTTCGGCGAACTTTCTGAACATGCATGCAGATTCGTTTGAATGCCCGAAGCACCTCTCGAAAGCTCTTCGGTGTCTGTAGTGGTTTTTGTGTGGGTCCTCAACAAGCAGTCGACTTGTTTCATGCACTGATGTTTCGAACAGCACTATCGAAAAGCTAAGGTGCCCCAGAAGAGAAGCCCACGGACATCTTCATGGGACCTGCCAGAACAGAAAGTTCATGAGCCAGACTTTGTTCGGATGCATGACACAAATTCGGACATGCGGGCAGGAAGGCAATCTCTGCTTTGAATTTCTACATGTACACAGCCAAGCTTCTCAACATGCCTGCTTCATTCTCCAGAATCTTTACTTAGAACATGTTCAGACTCTGATTTACTCTGCCTGTGATTGAAGCTGGTGAGAGCTCCCGAGCTGCTGCGTGCAGCTCATCCTCTCAGGCTCAGGCTGAGTCGGCTACATCTTAGCGCTGTGCGCTGTAGAGCTTGTTGCCCGCTGTGAGTGGTACAGTGAACTTGCAATGGACAGTCATGCCTAACCGCGGTGGACTGGAGGTCCGAGGCACCTGAAAGAGAGTAGCCCAAAGGGAGCGGCTCAGAGTCTCTGCATCTTGGCCTGACAAAAATTCGTTCAATGCTCTATCGACCACAGCATCATGAAGTGAATGGGCCTTCAGGAAGCTGTAGTGAGAACTGCATGCGCACAGAGCCACCCTGACAGGAATGATCTCTACATGAACATGTCGGAGAAGCCGCGACAGCCGCGACCTGCCTTGGCCTTGGAGAGCGTGACACGGTCGAAGGCCCCGTCAACGTCCTGCAGGTCCTCGGGTGCAGCGCCTGCCCAGTTGGCCAGTTGGCCCAAGTTCATGGACCTCCGACTTCCCAGTGCTTGTCAAAACTTGCTGGCCTGCGGCCTTCTTGACTGCCTTAGGCTTGAGCTCACCAACACGTATCTGTGGCAGCATTCCATGCGACAGAACTTGAGCATGGAAACTGAGCAGGGCTTGGCAGCGGACTGCGGCTGCCAATCGTCCGAATGATGGAAGCTCCCGAGACAGGCTATCCTCGCGTTGAAGTTCTGAGTGATAAGCCGAAATTTTGCAGCTAATCCCGCGCTTTGACCCCGCAGCTTAAGGACTTGCAGACAGCGGACGTAGTTCACACCGTCCAAGTCTATGGCAACATCGTAGGAGTCCGCACCTGCGCGAACTACAAATGCGTGCAGCTTGATCGGTCGTGTCATAGCGTGCCTTTCACTCATGATGTTCAACTCCAAAGATCATGCTGTGATGAATAAGCATTCTTCAGAGGCTTGGCGATTCAACATATGGAAGGCAACAACAATAAGGCACATGCTTTGCTTCATGATGCGTTGATCCGTCAGAGATTAAAAGCTTGCAGGCGCCTGCTGGTGCATACGGCAGAGATGCAGGCTGCGCTATGTCCATCAGGACCGAAGCTGCCTGGCAGGATCAGAATTCGCCACGGGTCGTTTGGCCTCATATTCAAGCTTCTCCCTTGAATGCGGTGTCTTTCTGGGATGTGTTGAGATTTCGGGCTCTGTCTTGTCTATTCTGTTCCATGTTGAAGACTGCTCAGCTTATCCCGCCCTCCAGCTTGAAACGCATGTTCCCATGCATCAGGATGCCTGATGAACAAGACTGCGTCGCTCATAGAGCTGGAAGCCTAAGTGTGCTCAGCAGGAGTCAGGAAGTTACTTTTGAGATCTTGCGATGTTGCAACCTTGGATTTCACTTTTCGCAGACGAGCGGCCAAAACGATTTGGCGTCCGTGTACAAAGGTGTCCCTGCAAGCTGCAAGACGGCTATGTGGCAACACCTGTCGAGCCCCTGGTCTTGCTACTTCTTGTGTTGTGGGGAGTGCTGCCAGTCCATGCAACTCTTACCCGATCTTGCGCCGGCACTTGCTTGGATCATGAAACCGATGGAAGCTAGCTTCAAATCCTGAAGGTTGCCGGTGCAGAGTCAACAGGAATAAGGTGATTGAACTTTCTGCACGCCTTCAGCACACAGAAGCAGGCAAGCCGGTTCGAAACCATCTGCGGCCCGCATTCCTCCAAAGACTGGGTAGCCTTTAGCTTCTGATTTGGCAGGGACGAAGAGCTGGGGATGCTGTGAGATGCTGTGAGCTTGTGCAAGCTTTTGCTTGGGGCTTCCGTTCTGCCAAGCTGGACTTCGGCGGTCCAAATCTGCCGCGGCCCGTCGCTGGCACTCGGCGACGCTCAATGTGTCGCTGCCGGCCAAGTCCTGGTTGTTAGGCACACTTTCCTCAACCGCAGTAATGGCAAT